TCATCGCTTACTTCACCTCACATATTTGCCAAGAGTCATCTTCCATTATCGAATATATTTGAGATTAGCGGCATACAATCTATCCGAAAATTCGCCAAAATGTTATGTTTCTTCATGTTTGCAGCAATTATTATTGGTATGTTAAATGAGAATTGATACTCTCTCAGACCATAAATTCCAAACATTCGAAAGCTAACTGGTAGTATTAAGACTATCTGTTAAGAAACAATTGATAGTTGATTTAATTTGGAAAAGTGATCACTAAGTTAAGCTGTTACAGCTGTAGAAGGTTATCGATGTAAAGCAGGTCGAATAACACCGGAGCAACGTAAAGCAATCGTTAAACAAAATAATAAATTCCGTTCGCAACCGGAGCAACGTAAAGCAATCGTTAAACAAAATAATAAATTCCGTTCGCAACTTGTCCATGGCGAGCTTAAGAACAAAGCTGGTGAATTTATGCCACGTGGCAAGAATATGTTGAAAATGGTGAAGATGTACTGAATAATTTTTCAAACGTGTTGAAAGGATTAGATTATTTAGTCTTAATGTGAGTCATTAATTACTAATTTCCCGAATGTTCGTTCAGAGATGGAGTTGTTCGTTGGAACATTCCGCGCAAAAATGGGCAAATAGATGTGCCTTTGGACACTCACCAGAAGAACGAAGAAACGATACCGGTGAAAATATCTATGATTTCTGGTCATCAACAACTGTTGAAGGTTCATTTGACGCATATTTACATCATTTGAAGTCCAGGAACCTTCTTGATAGAAATACATCTTTAGCGTGTACGAATATTCGGTAAGTAAAATATTGGAAATCAGAAAAGAAATAAATAATGAAGTCTAAAAAGTGAAATCGCCTTTCCAACTTTTAAGCGAATTGCTGGTACAGAAGCCGGTAAAAGGTGGTGATCAGAACTTCCGAAACGGTACGGATCTAATCCTTCGAATAATTTGACTGCTCAAGTTTCGTGCCAAGATGTTTCGTATTTCACACAGGTAAAGAAAATTTTGTAGGTACAGCTAAATCCATTCGATTTTTCTAAAAATGTTTCAAATTCGAAAGAATCGAGCTTAAAGTGTTTTCAACTTATCACTTTACCTGACTAAGATAGTAGGGGCTAACAGTTATAAGCATAAATTCATGAGATCTCGAAAAAAACATTCGAAAAATTACAACAGTTCAGTCCAACATTTAGTTAAGCATACTTTTTCTAAAGGCAGAGATTGATCGGTTTTTATTCTTGATTTTATCAAGCAGAATGTGGAAAGTCATTTCTTAAGCTAAAATGTTTGTTTGCTTTTCTAGAAATTCAACCTTGATTTGAAGGGTAAAGTTGCATATTAAATCAGATGACCTATATATATGACCTATATATTCAGGGAATAGACTTGCTATAAATTTTATTTGTAACGTTTATTTTCAGATGGCTTGGGGTAAAACGTATAAAATTGGCTGTGGCATTGCTACAAACTGCAATGGTGGCACGAGACTGATGGTCGTTTGCCATTATTGGCCAGCGTAAGCTTTTGTATTATTGTCAAAGGAAAATGCTCCTAAATGCACCTATGCTGGTTGTTATGCTTGTTGTTTTTGTAATTCAAACTAGCATTTCAAGAAAATATTCATCTTAAACAATTTCCCTTTCATTTATGCCATATTGAACTAATCGAAAACATTCCATACTTTATTAAGCAAGGT